AAAAGTGGCTAGATTATTGTTGGGTAGACACCAAAGACAGTACTCTGGAAAATTGTGTTAGCAACACAGTCATCATAGAATTTGTCGATATGAAATATGTAATCATTCATATGACAATTTAGCATGTATTAATCTAAAACATAATCTGAATTCCATTCTGCTATTTGAAAAGCTTCTTCATTTATTATAATCTCACAGAAGACTGTTATAGGTAACATATGTGATGATTTCATCTCTAATTTTGTTAGAATAATAACATTGTTGTATTATAAGTTACAGATTTCATGTTACTAAATCAAGTTGCCCGTGTTGCTCAATTAAATTGCACTGGAATATTTTCTAAAAAAAATCTATTTAATAAAAATGAATGAAAAAAACACCTATTATAATGGGGGTAGAGGAAATTAAGCAAATGACAATATAATCTATCTTTTTTTAAGTGTAATTTTTGTAGTAAAAGTTAGTGTTCTAATTTTAAAGGATTATATGATTTTATTTATTTACCTATTGATATAATCAAGTGTATTGTTTCCTTATATTGAACCAGCTCTGCATTCTTGATATAAATCTCTCTTGTTCACAATGGATAATCTTTATGTTATATTGCTGTAATCTCCTAGCTAATATTTTATTAAGTATTTTTATATCAATATTTGTTAGTGAAATTAGTCTATAAAATTTTCCTTCAGTTTTTTTTTTCTTTTCCTGGTTTAAGTATCAGGAACATATTTGTTTCATGAAAGGAGTTTGGTAGGACTCATTCTTTTCCTATTACTCCATATAATTTATTTAATGTTGTAACTTGTTGCACTTCGAATGTTTGGTTCAATTGACTTGTACATTCATCTGGTACTGATGTTTTTTTGTTACAAAGCCTGTTCAAATTCTTTTTTTTAAGACCTTTATTTAGATATTCCATATTCTCTTCTTTTAATCTTGGAACCTTATATTTCCAGAAGTATTGTTCCATCTCACTTTGATTGTTAAATTTATTTGAATATAAATGAACAAAATAATACCTAAAACCTGTTCTAATTTTATCTTATTTACTGGTATCCTTATCTTTTTCATTTTTAATACTAACAATTTGATTTTGTCACATTTTTAATCAAATTAACCAATGGTTTATCTATTTTATTGTTTTACTCATAAAAAATAGCTCCTAGTTTTATTTATTAATTTTATTTTTTACATCCAATTTTATTAATATCATCTAAAATTTTCAGGATGTGGGAGATATCTAATTTTTTTTATTTTTCTACTTTTTAAAATTGCATCCCAATTTATTGATCTGCTCTTTATTTTTTTGATGCAAGCATTTAAACATACATATTTTCCTCTAGTTACCATTTTTGCTGCACCCAAATGGTTTGGTATGTTGTCTTATTATTGTCAATCTATTTAATAAAATTGTTTATTTTTCTCTATGATTTATTCTTTGACACACTTACTTTTAAAGAGTAGGATATTTAGTTTCCATTAATTTTTAATATGTCTTTTCATGGTCCTCAATTAAAGCTAATTTTATTGCTTTATCACCTAAAAAGGATACAGTTAATATATTTGCTTTTCTACATTTAATTATAAGATTTTTATGCCCTAGTATATGATCAATTTTTATAAAAATATCATGGACCAGGGCAGCTAGGTGGCACAGTGGATAGAGCACTGGCCAGAAGTCAGGAGATCCTGAGTTCAAATCCAGTCTCAGACACATACCACTTACTAGCTGTGTGACTGTGGGTAAGTCACTTAACCCCAATTGCCTAAAAAAAAAATATGTCATGTACCTCTGATAAAAAGTTATATTCCTTTCTCTCCCTATTCAATTTTCTTTCCAGATTGCTATCATATCTAGCTTATTTAAGATTCTACTAATCTCCTAGACTTTGTTCTTATTTATTTTTTGGTTAGATTTTTCTAGTTTTCAGACTGCAAAATTGAGGTCCTCCACTGTTGGAGTTTTACTATTTATTTTCACCTGTAATTCATTTACCTTGTCATTTATATATTATAGCATTTAGTGCATATAGGTTAAGTATTGATATTATTTCATTTTCTATGGTACATTTTTTGCATTATGTAGTTTTCCTGCTTCTCTCTGTTAATTAAATTTGTTTTCACTTTAACTTTGTCTCAGATAGTGATTTCTACACCTGCTTTTTTTCTATATCAGCTAAAGCATAAGAAATTCCACTCTCACAATTTATTTATACTGTGTGTCTTTAATTTTAAATTTTGTTTCTTGTAAACAAAATATTGTCAGGCTCTTCTTTCTGATCCATTCTGATATCCGTTTCCATTTTATGGGTGATTTCATCCCATTCACTTTCAAAGTTATAATTACCAGTTTTGTATTTCCTTCCATCCTATTTTCTCCACTGTTAATCTTTCCCTATCTCTTTTTTCCCTATCCAGTCTAAGAAGTCTAATTTACTTTTGACCACTGCCTCTCTATTCCACCCAAATTCTAAGAGTCCCTTCTTTATTCTATTCCCTTGCCTTCCTATTTTTATGTAAGTTAAGAAAACCTTTATGCCCAACTAGATGTATATGTTAATCCCATATTAATCCATTTCTGATGAAAATTAAGTTCCTGGGCTATCCACCCTTCATACTATTACCCCTCCACCAGAAAAAAAAAATAAAAAGATAATTTGCTATATTTTACCTCTCCCTACCCAATTTTATTTTTTAGGATCATCCCATCATAATCATTTCAGTGCCAAGCTCTCTCCCTCTCTCTCTCTCTCTGTGTCTCTCTCTCTCTCTCTCTCTCTCTCTCTCCCTCACTCTCTCATTTCTGATTTCTAATTTCCCTCTCTCTCTCTAAATTCTAATTAACCTAATAATGATAAGATTCTTAAGAGTTACAAATATTTTCCAATATGGCAAGTTAACAATTTAACCTTATTAAATCCCTCATAATTAGTTTTTCATGTTAATCTTCTTATGTTTCTCCTGATTCTTGTATTTGTAAGTCAAATTTTCTGTTCAGTTCTGGTTTAGTTCAGTTCCTCAACAATGTTTGAAAGTTCTTTAACTCATTGAATATCCATTTTTCCCTTGCAAGATTAAACTTAACTTTCCTAAGTACTTTATTCCTGGTTGCAAATCTAGCTTCTTTGCTTTTTGTAATATAATGCTCATGCTCTTTGGTCTCATTGTAGAAGCTTCTAAATTTTGTGTTATCCTGACTGTAGCTCCACAATATTTGAATTATTTCTTACTAGTTGCTTGTAATATTTTCTCTTTGACCTGGGAGCTTTGAATCTTAGCTATAATGTTACTGTGATTTTTCATTTTAAGATTTCTTTCAGAAGTTGACTAGAGGAATTTTTCAATTCCTATTATACCCTGTAGTTTTAAAATTCCAGGATAATTTTTCTTAATAATTTCTTGAAGTATAGGGTCTAGGGGGGCAGATATATGGTGCAGTAGACAGAGCACTGGGCTTGGAATCATGATGACTCACCTTCATGAGTTCAAGTCTGGTTTCAGATACTTCCTGGTGACTTTAATTGCAAAAGTTTATATGAATGGTGATAAAAGCCTGAAGTAGGGTAGAGTGGTTGTCATGTGAGTAACAAGAAGGTGAAGAATATGAACCAGATAATCAACAAAATTTGACGCTTAATTGGATATGGGAATGAGGGTGAATGAAGAACTGAGAATGACTCTAGGGTTATTAACCTATGTGATTAAAAAGATTATGGTGTGCTTTTCACCAGTGTTGTGCTTTATGGATTTCAGTTTTGTCTATGTGCCTTATTCTCTGTGTGATTTGAGAAAATTATTTAATTGATGAAAGCCTAGTGGTTTCTATAGTTACACACTAATGTGGCAAACATGGGATTTTGAGGTAATGCATAATTGCACCCATATAGAATTATCTTTCAAATGCATTTAAAAAATAGAAATTGTGGTTAGCCATTAACCTTTATGCATTATTTTTTTAAATTTTCATTTGTTTCACTGTCTTTTACTCTGGTTAGAAAAAAAGTCCAAAAAAAAGTAATATAGATTACAAATGTCATGTATAAAAGATTATTTATTTTGCTTTTTAGATTTACTACTCCTCAAATATTTACCCAGGCAACCATAGATAAAATTAGAACAGGTTTAGGTATTATTTTGTTCATTTATATTCAAATAAATTTAACAATCAAAGTGAGATGGAACAATACTTCTGGAAATATAAGGTTCCAAGATTAAAAGAAGAGAATATGGAATATCTAAAGAAAGGTCTTAAAAAAAAGAACCTTGACTTACAAATACAAGAATCAGGCAATAATCTATTAATTCATCTATAAAATGAGGTTGGGATAAATGGCCTCTAATTTCCCTTCCATCTCTAAGTCTATAAATTGAGTATATTAGGATGAGGGATAAACTTAGAAGGAAAGGTAATGAATTGCTTTCTACATGTTGATTTTAAGATGAATATGGTTAATTTATGTGTTGGTTTCTAGTAAGCTGGTGAAGTTGGAATGAAATTATAGAGAGGGAGACTAGCACTGCCTATGTCCATATAGATATGATAAAGCAACCATTGTGAACTGATGAAATCAATGAGACAGTGCAAAGAGAGAAGAGATGAGGGTTCAGTACAAATCCTTTGTGTATATTCACATATGTAAGATGGGATATAGATGATGAAAAGAAATGATCAGATAGGTAGAAAGAGAACCAGTAGGAAAGGTAGAGTGTCTGTGAACAGGAGATAGTCAATTAAGTGAAATACTTTAGCAGTCAGAAGGAGGAGAATTTAGAAAAAGTCACTGACTATAACATGTTTTAAATCACTGACTGCTTTGGACATAACAGTATCAGCTATTGGTGGAGTGAGATTCTAGAAAGCAAAAGGATGGTGTGAGAAAATAAAGGTAGAAAGTATGTATAGCTTTTTAAAGTAATTTTAGTATCAAAGGAAGGAGAGAAAAAATATACTATACTTAGGGTAAGAGTGTCAAGTAAAGCTGTTTTTTTTTAAGATGTAAGTATTCATGTTGGGAGCACAAATATTAAAATAGAAAAAATATAGAGACAATCACCATGGCTCTTAAGTGATGATGACATAAAAATTCACAAAAATTTCCATATTTTTCTAATATAATTGTGCTGTCAAAAATAATGAAAGACATGATTTCAGAGAAATCTGTAAAAATGAACTGATGCAGGGCAAAGTGAGTAGAATCAGAACAATTTATACTACAGTAGCAATTTAAATTTAAATGAACAACTTTAAAAGACTTGAAAATGCTAATAAATGTGGTGGCCAATTGTGATTCCAAAATATCCTGACTAATTTGTTAATATATTTAAGTAGACAATATTTTTCAAGTGTGATGGAACTAGAAATAAACAAGAGGACTCTGAAATTCTTTGAAATTCTTCAAATTAGTACTTGAAATTTGAAAGTTGGAAACATTCAAAGAGAGCATAGAAAAAAAATCACCCACCATATTATATATTATAACATTAAAACAAAAAGTCAAAAGAAAGTAGCACTTATAAATGTTGATTTATATCCTTAAGCAAGTAATTAATTGCATGATATTCACCACTACAGAATGTTTCTTGCCTGGGTAAATATTTGAGGAGTAGTAAATCTAAAAAGCAAAATAAATAATCTTTTATACATGACATTTGTAATCTATATTACTTTTTTTGGACTTTTTTTCTAACCAGAGTAAAAGACAGTGAAACAAATGAAAATTTAAAAAAATAATGCATAAAGGTTAATGGCTAACCACAATTTCTATTTTTTAAATGCATTTGAAAGATAATTCTATATGGGTGCAATTATGCATTACCTCAAAATCCCATGTTTGCCACATTAGTGTGTAACTATAGAAACCACTAGGCTTTCATCAATTAAAATTGTTTTTATTTGAACTTTCTTTATCTAGCATAAGGTCTGCTTTCAATAGAAAAATAATTTTCCCTGGTTGAAAAAAAGTAGAAAGTGAATATCATATAAATGTAGAAATAATTTTGTATTTAAAAACTTTCATATTCAAAGGTGATTTAAGTGTTCTGTGTTTGTTATTGTTCCATAGATGTTAAGTATAAGTATATTAATTTAACTTGCCTCCTTTTTTCCTTTGATATAAATATTTCAAAATTGAGCTCTCTTCTGTTTCTTAATAAATGAAATAGATAATAGGAATACTTATGAGTCACAGGCAACTTTCCATGGGTAAAAGAACAGTAACTGCCCAGACTAGATAGATAGATATAGATAGCTAGATAAATAGATAGATAGATAGATAGATAGACAGATAGATAGATTGATTGATTGATTAATTGATACTGATTTTCATGGACAAATGACTCAATAACTTGAGTCTTCCTCATTTTGAGTGACTCTTCTCATTGTTTTTTTTTTTTATGGATCAAAATTAGTAGAAATTTTTGGCCAAGAAAGAGAGTTCACATCTTAGATTGCATAGTATCAGTGTAATAAGTTCATAGATAAGATCTTATTCAGTATGCTGGTACTTTTTTTTTTACTATATGCTTCAGCAAAAATCTTATAAAATTCTATTACAAGGCTATCAAATTTAATCAGTCAGGCATTTCTGAGCTCAAGATCTTAAATCTGTCATAATAATAGAAAACAGACTTGAACTGTTTCCATTTTTGAAATCTTATTTTGATCATATAAATAATAAAGCAAAAGACTGCCTTTAGCCAGATTGGTTTTCTCTCATTATTAAACCTGCTTCTATATCACACCCACCCCACTTCTTATAGATTTCTTCAATTACAGCATTATTGGGCACATTAAGAAGAAAATAACTAACATTATACTAATATTTATTTATCTGCAATTACCAAAACAGAATATGCTTTAAGAACTATTAACTAATATTTAATATGCATACACATACCCAAAGAAATTTTTGACTATTAAACTTCTATGATACATTTCTATTTCATTTCATTGCAGTCATACAATTTCATGCATTTCATACAAATTTCATTTGCAAAAGCAGTCTCCTTGATTACTAGCTATGAAAAAATGAGAAAAGAGGGAGACAGAGGGAAAGAGAGAGAGTGCAAGAGAGAGAGACAGAGAGATACAGAGAGAGAGAGAGAGAGAGAGAGAGAGAAAGAGAGAGAGAGAGACAAAGAGACAGAGAGCCAGAGACAGAGAAAATAAAAACAGTCATTCTGAAAGAGCTAGAAGACAGATCAAGTGTGGTAATATCTGAAAGTGTTTAGAAGATGTTTGCAAAACACTATTGAATAATTTTTCTTGTATTTTTGGTTTGATGTCAGTGGGCTTTTGCCACTTCATTGTGGTAGAGGTCATTCAGTGAAGAAAACTCCTCTACCAATAAAGACCTAAAACACTTCTGTAATTTATAATCCTAGAGAACTGATCAACGCACTGAGAGGTTAAGAACCTTAGACATTTGTCTCTGTGCTCCACAATGCAGCTCCACTATTTTATGAATTATATTCCTTGTTATTGTGTTTGTCTGAGTACTGAGTTTCTCTGTTCTTCATATCTTCCTCATTGCTTTTACAATAATGTTTTACATTGAACTGAATCCCATTATTTTGTATGTTATGCTCTCTCATTGAGGGGTTATTTTTCCCAATGTATTTGGATGACCAACAGGCTCCTCCTTAGACATAAACTGAGGACAAGGACTTAACCTGTTGATAGCATCTATGCTGAGGGAACATGGTGCTGTAAGTGTAGTCATGGAAAGCAAAGATCAAAAGGGGAAGTCTACATCCTCCCAGGTGGGACTCTATTATGCCAATAGACTGTCACAAAGCATATGCATTGGAATAAGAAAGATCCCTGAGATTCTCCCTGTCCCTTAATTCCCTGTTAGGTGGGTCAGAACTCAGATCACATCTATCCATGCTTTGTGTGAACCACATTTAGATATTTAGACAAATCAAGACATGCTTTGTATGAACCACGTTTAGATATTTAGACAAAACCATCTTATTTTTGGCATATAATTTATAATTTCTATTTAAAAGAATTGTTTGAGAGGATTCTGGGAAGATTGTGGAGTAGGTCAGAAAATCAAGATTTCCCCCCACAAAAGAGATGAAATAGCATCTTAGGCCAAACAAAGCTCAGGTAAAAATAAACAAGAATAGGGGCACAATAAGGGTCTTCCTGGGATAACTTGAGAAGATCAGAAAAAAAATTTCAGGAGGAGGTTTGGTTCCCGTGAAGAGTAAATACCTCCAGGCTAGGGGTTGTGTTAACAACAGGCAGCAAGTCCTAGGGTAAGCTGGTTTGGGAGGCTGCCTGGGCCCCAGCTATAGAAACTTTTACCCCTGGGGTTTGGAGGGCAGTTGGGTGTCTGATCCTGGAAAGATTGAAGGAACCATTGACTGACAAGGAACACCAGACCCAGGTGTGCTGCACAGAGCAGCAGGAGTGAGAAGGAACCAACACAGGCCCAGTGAGTGCAGAAGCAGTGAGGCAGAAGTTCCCTGGCTGTAGGCACTTACAGGAGACTTGAGGTTTGGCTTTGGTTCCAGACTAGATGGGAGAACTGAAGATTTGGGGCAAGAGGCACCATTCCCCATACCCCAGGGCTAGAGGTGATTACAAAAATTAAGCTATTACTACAAAAAATGAAAAGGCAAAAGAGAAAGAATCCAATCATAGAAAGCTATTATGGGAATAGAAAAGACCAAGGTTCATCTTCAGAGGAAGATATTGAAGCAAAGAAATCCTCTTCTATGCCAAAGAGTAATGTCAAATGGTTAGCTGCCCAAAAAAAGAATTTGTAGAAGAACTTATGAAAGACTTTAAAAATCAAGTGAGAGAGATGGAGGAAAAACTAAAAGAAAGAAAGAAAAAAATGAATAATCCAAGAAAAACAAGAAGATTATAAAAATAAAGTCAACCATTTAGAAAAGGAGATCCAGAATCTTAATGAATAAAATGACACCTTGAAAATTAGAATTGGCCAAGGTCAAGACAGTGAAGTTAAAAGGGATCACTAAATAATTGAACAAAATATGAATGAAAAATAGAAGAGAAAGTGGTTCATCTTATAAGAATAACAACTCATCTGGATAACAGATCAAGAAGAGAAAACATAAGAATAATCAAACTACCTGAAAGCTATGGTAAAAAAAATAAGAATCTTGCTACAATAATACATAAAATAATTGAAGAAAATGGTCCTGAAACATTAGAACAAGGGGGGAATTTAGAAATAGATAAAATTCATTGATCACCACTTGAAAGAGATCTTATGAGGAAAACTTTTAGGAATATTATAGTCAAATTCTGAAACCCCCAGCTCAAGGATAAAATGTTAAAAGCAACAAGAAAAAAATTAATTTAAATATGACAGTGCCACAATTAGAATCATATAAGACCTAGCAGTGGTGACACTAGAGGACTGCAGGTCTTGGAACACTATATTTTAAAGAGCAAAACAACTTGGGCTCTGGCTGAAAATATCACACCCAGGAAAGTTAATCATAATCCTGAGTGGAAAAAAAATGGACATTTGATCAACTGTCAGACTTTCAAGATTTTGCTAAAAATACAACTGAACTTAATAGAAAATTTGACATGCAAAAGCCAAGAGAAATATAAGGTACATACCAAAGATTGATCACAAGAGATTCAATAAAGACAGAATGTTTCCTTTTTATATATGCAAAATCCAAAACTTGTGTCTAAGATTATTATTAATAATTGGGTAGCTCATGAGAAAGATTAGGGTTGACCTGAGTATGCTATGACTTTAAAAAGTAAAACCATTTAGGAACAGCTAAAAAGAGTAATTATTTTATACAAATTAGATGCAAGAGGAAGAATCAATATAGGGAAATTAGATGGGGAAGAAGGGCTGGTAGTTCTGGTAACCTACTTTTATCAGGAATGGGTTTAAGAAAGAACAATACACATATGTTTAGAAGAGTATAAAATTCTTCTCAATTTCGAAGAACTGAAATGGTGTGGGAATAGAGAGGGGAAGAGGACAAGGAAGGAATCTCTAGAGGGGAGCATGAGGTAATAGGTTATAGGAGTCTATAGAATGGTGTTTAGATTTATGGGAACAGGAGGATAGGGGAGGTATCTTTGGAGGGATTAGGCTAAGT